TGGATGATAATGGAATAGTTTAGGTTAGATGGGCTTCAGATTGGTTTCACAGGTCGGCGCAACATCGAGGGCCAAAGGGCCTGTACTGCGCTGTAATGTTCTATGTTCTATGCTCAATGTGGGAGCTCAAGGATGCGGCTGATGTCCCTGACTCCTATACGTGCAGGAGGTGTGTCCAGCTGCAGCTCTTGTTAGACCACATGACGGCTCTGGAGCTGCGGAAGGACTCACTTTGGAGCATCCGCGATGCTGAGGAAGTCGTGGATAGCACGTTCAACAAATTGGTCACACTGCAGATTAGGATTGCCGACGGAGAAAGGGAATGGGTGACCAAAAGGCAGAGAAAAAGCAGGAAGGCAGTGTCGGTGTCCCCTGTGGTCATCTCCCTCCAAAACAGGTATACTGTTTTGGATACTGTTGGGGGAGATGGCTCACCAGGGGAAGTCAGCAGTAGCCAAGTTCATGGCACTGTGGCTGGCTCTGCTGTACAGGAGGGCGGGAAAAAGAGTGGAAGGGCTATAGTCATAGGGGATTCGATTGTAAGGGGAGTCGATAGGCGGTTCTGTGGTTGAAAACGAGACTCCCGAATGGTACCCTTCTGAAGAAGGGTCTCGGCCCGAAACGTCAGCCTTCCTGCCCCTCTGATGCTGCTTGGCCTGCTGTGTTCATCCAGCTCTACACCTTGTTATCTCCCGAATGGTACGTTGCCTCCCAGGTGCATGGGTCAGGGATGTCTCAGATCGACTGCAGGACATTCTGAAGGGAGAGGGTGAACAACCAGCTGTCGTGGTGCATATAGGCACCAATGATATAGGTAATAAACGGGATGAGGTCCTACAAGCAGAATTTAGGGAGTTAGGAGCCAAGTTAAAAAGTAGGACCTCAGAGGTAGTAATCTCAGGATTGCTACCAGTGCCACGTTCTACTCAAAGGAGAAATTAAAGAATAGGTAGGATAAATGAGTGGCTTGAGAGATGGTGCAGGAGGGAGGGGATCAGATTTTTGGGACATTGGGACCAGTTCTGGGGGAGGTGGGACTATTACAAATCGGATGGTCTACACCTGGGCAGGACTGGAGCCAATGTCCTCGGGGCTGCTTTTGCTAACGCTGTTGTGGAGGGTTTAAACTAATGTGGCAGGGGGATGGGAACCAAATGAGGTTAGTGGGCAGTAAGGAGGTAGTAACTAAAGCCTGTAAGGAACTAGATAATGAAGTCAGTGTGACTAAGGGGAAGAGTACGCAGAGAGCAGATGATGAACGCAAAGGGATAGGTGGTCTGAGGTGCATTTGTTTTCATGCGAGAAGTGTAGTAGGTAAGGCAGATGAACTTAGGGCTTGGAGTAGTACCTGGGAGTATGATGTTATTGCTATTACTGAGACTTGGTTGAGGAAAGGGCAAGATTGGAACTAAATATCCCAGGATATAGATGCTTCAGGCGGGATAGAGAGGGAGGTAAAAGGGGTGGAGAAGTTCCATTACTGGTCAAAGAGGATATCTCAGCTGTGCTGAAGGAGGGCACTCTGGAGGACTCGAGCAGTGAGGTAATATGGGCAAAGCTCAGAAATAGGAAGGGTGCGGTAACAATGTTGGGGCTGTACTACAGGCCTCCCAACAGCGAACATGAGACAGAGGTACAAATATGTAGACAGATTATGGAAAGATGTAGGAGCAACAGGGTGGTGGTGATGGGAGATATTAATTTTCCCAACATTGACTGGGATTCACTTAGTGTTAGGGGTTTAGATGGAACAGAATTTGTAAGGAGCATCCAGGAGGGTTTTATAGAGCAGTATGTAAATAGTCCAACTTGGGAAGGGGCCATACTGGACCTGGTGTTGAGGAATGAGCCCGGCCAGGTGGTTGAAGTTTCAGTAGGGGATTACTTTGGGAATAGTGATCACAATTCCGTAAGTTTTAGAATACTCATGGACAAAGACGAGAATGGTCATAAAGGAAGAGTGCTAAATTGGGGGAAGGCTAACTATAGCAAAATTCGGCAGGAGCTGGGGAATGTGGATTGGGAGCAGCTGTTTGAAGGTAAATCCACATTTGATATGTGGGATGCTTTTAAAGAGAGGTTGATTAGAGTGCAGGACAGACATGTCCCTGTGAAAATGAGGGATAGAAAGGGCAAGATTAGGGAACCATGGATGACAGGTGAAATTGTGAGACTAGAAAAGAGGAAAAACGAAGCATACATAAGGTCTAGGCGACTGAAAACAGACGAAGCTTTGGAAGAATATCGGGAAAGGATCAGCCATGATCTTATTGAATGGCGGAGCAGGCTCGAAGGACCAGACGGCCTACTCCTGCTCCTAGTTCTTATGTTCTTATGAAAGTAGGACCAATCTGAAACGAGGAATTAAAAGGGCTAAAAGGGGTCATGAAATATCTTTAGCAAACAGGGTTAAGGAAAATCCCAAAGCCTTTTATGCGTACATAAGGAGCAAGAGGGTAACTAGAGAAAGAGTTGGCCCACTCAAAAGAGGGAAGTTACGGAGAGTGTAGTGGGTGCCTGGAACGCTTTGCCAGCAAAGGTGGTAGAGGCGGGCACGATAGCGTCATTTAAGATGTATCTCGACAGATACATGAATGGGCAGGGAGCAGAAGGATACAGATCTTTGGAAAATAGGCGACAGGTTTAGATAGAGGATCTGGATCGGCGCAGGCTTGGAGGGCCGAAGTGCCTGTTCCTGTGCTGTAATTTTCTTTGTTCTTTGTTCTAATACTGACCCTCCGACAGTGCAGCGCTCCCTCAGCGCTGATTCTACCAGAGTGTGGCATTCCCTCAGCACTGATCATGCTGCTTCTGGCTGCCCACCTGGCCACAGCTTTTGCAGAATTCAATGCTACGAATCGTGGGCACAAAATTACATGCTGAGGTTGTTATCTGAATATAAAATCCTGGCGCAAGACCCTGTTCAGCACGCTCACCAGAAATCAACTGTTCCAAGCGCACTCTCTCATGGGCTGCATGCTGATCAACCAACACCAGCAGATTACCCCCTGCAGCACAAAACATTTAATTAGACACAAACTAAGCACTTCCCCATGTCCCTCCCCCGAAACACTCCCCACACACACCCCTCCGAAATACTCCCATACACACTCCCGCCCTGAAACACTCCCTACACACAGCCCCTTTCAGACACACACAGAATCATAGAATCCCAACAGTGTGGCAACAGGCCATTCAGCCCATTAAGTCCACACCGACACTCCAAACAGCATTCCACTCAGACCCATCCCTTGCCCTCACCACAAAACCCCATATTTCTCATGGCTACTCCACCTAACCTGCACATCCTGGAAACTATAGACAATTTAGCATGGCCAATTCACCTAACATGCACATCTTTGGACTGGGGGAGGAAACCCACACAGACACAGGGAGAATGTGCAAACTCCACACAGTCACCTGAGGGTGGAATTGAACCCAGATCCCTGGCGCTGTGAGGCAGCAGTGCTAACCACTGAGCCACTGTGCTGCCTGTCTGAGACATTCCCCACACATACCCTTCTGAGAAAACTGGGCACATAGACAAGTTGGACTGAAGGGCCTATTTCCATGCTGTAAACCTCTATGACTGTATGACAGTCTTTAAATTGAGGGGTGATAGAAACAGGACAGATGTCAGAGGTAGGTTCTTTACTCAGAGAGTAGTAAGGGCGTGGAATGCCCTGCCTGCAAAAATAGTAGACTCGCCAACTTTAAGGGCATTTAAATGGTCATTGGATAAACATATGGATGATAATGGAATAGTTTAGGTTAGATGGGCTTCAGATTAGTTTCACAGGTCGGCGCAACATCGAGGGCCGAAGGGCCTGTACTGCGCTGCAATGTTCTATGTTCTATGACATATCCTGACTCCAGACTCTGAAAGTTTGACCCTGACCAGAAGCACACAGTGTGTCTCCTTCTTGTCATGTTTGATCAAGGCTCACTCACCTGTTGGTGCTTCTCTATTGGTTCTTGTTTCTATCAAACAGGCAATGAACTTATTGTCCACCTGGTTAAGCACCTAAACGAACAAGGTATACAGAGTTGATAGGAATGCCTGATTTCAGCAACTAATCAACAACATTTCACTCACCCAGAACTGCCAAGAGCTTCTTACCTGCATTGAGCCGATCATGTCTTTGGTGAAGCGATAAGGGTACAGGATGTTGTGAATCTTCACTGCCAAACTGCCAGCCTGGTCATTGCTAACATCGACAGCAACCTACAACACCAAAACCACACAAAGGATATATCTTCCATGTTTCAACACGCCCAGAATCCCAATGCATTGACTGACAGTGGTAACGTAACTAGGCTAGTAACCCACAACAAAGAGCTATTGCTCTATATACCTCTGTTCAAATTCCACCAGGGCAGAATTGTGGAATTTAAATTCAATCAAAATCTGGAATAAAAAGCTTGCTTAACTGTGACCATGCAGCCACTGACAATTGTTGGAAAAACCCATCTGGTTCAACAATGTCTTTTAGGGAAGAAAAACTGCCATTCTTATTTGGTCTCTCATCCATGTGACTCCAGACACACTGCAATGTGGGTGACTCCTGAATACCCTCCAGGCAAACACAGGTGGGCAAAACATGTTGGCCCAGCCAACAACGCCCAAATCCAGTGAATAAATATCAGATCCAATCCCTCACCGACTCCATACCTGAACCAATCCCTCACTGACTCATACTTGACCCAGTCCCTCACTGATTCTATACCTGACCTAGTCTCTGACTGACCCTGTACCTGACCCAGTCTCTGACTGACCTGTACCTGACCCAGTCTCTGTCCGAGCCTGTACCTGACCCAGTCTCTGATTGACCCTGTAACTGACCCAGTCTCTGACTGACCCCGTACCTGACCCAGTCTCTGACCGAGCCCGTACCTGACCCAGTCTCTGATTGACCTTGTACCTGACCCAGTCTCTGTCACAGCCCGTACCTGACCCAGTCTCTGATTGACCCTGTAACTGACTCAGTCTCTGACTGACCCTGTACCTGACCCAGTCTCTGTCTGAGCCTGTAACTGACCCAGTCTCTGACTGACCCTGTACCTGACCCAGTCTCTGACTGACCCTGTACCTGACCCAGTCTCTGTCCGAGCCCGTACCTGACCCAGTCTCTGACCGAGC